GAAATAAATTACATTTAATTATATTTAGTTTAAAATTACTATACTCTTCTTTTCGTCAAGATACACCCATAATGATTTTAGTATATTATTTTAAAGGAATGATAGTTAGTATTTCTTTTCTGTGTGTGTGTGTGTGTGCGTTGTAATTTGAAAAAGAAACGCTATCAACCCAAAGGGTCTTAAATTGTGTAGACTTGCGGACTTCAACACGTTTTTAGACAGTTCATTCAATATTTACATGGATTGAAAACGAAAAGGTAAAAATAATGAAACCAACAGATGAAACAATTTAATAAAAATTTAACTGAAAATGTTCCGTTGTTACTTTCTTACTCTGTCCACTTCTGTAAGCATCAACGTATTATATTTTTTTTACTCTGTCCACTTCTGTAAGCACCAACTTATTATATTTTTTTTACTCTGCCCACTTCTGTAAGCACCAACTTATTATATTTTTTTTACTCTGCCCACTTCTGTAAGCATTATCTTACTGTCTTCTTTCACTATGCCCACTTCTATAAGCACTACCTTACTGTCTTCTTTTATACTGTCCACGTGTATAAGCATCTTCTTTTATTCTATCCTTCATTTTCTTTTACTCCGTCCACTCCTGTAATCACATTCTTGATATCGTCTTTCATTATGAACGTTTTATCCCCTTTTACAATTGTCACAAATGACTGGGGCGGGATATAGGACAGAGCTCTATTGTGGTTAAGGTAACTTATAGGAAGGACGGAAACTGCTGTTAGTTTAGGGAAGGCATTGTTAGAGTAGGAGGTTAAGTTAAGGTTAATAGACTCTCACATCTTGATATAGTGGGGATTGTTTCTTTGGATAATAGTATGTTCGGGTTTTCCAGACTTCGCGTGATAGTTTTTGGGTTAACAATGAGAAGTTCTAATTGACCGGAAATTAGGGGGCAGGGGTGTGTTTATAGATAGCATTCCTGGACCACCTATGGGGGTAGAGAATCACACATAAGAGGGAGCTTTCACGGAGTTAAAGGAGTTGAGGGAGAGTGAACAGAGGTACAACGAGTTGAGGAAGAGGGAAAGGAGCGACAGTAGTTAGTTGAGGAAGATAGAGAAGAACTACGGATTAGTTGAGGAAGAGAGAGAAAAGAGCTACGATAGAACTGAACAGTTGTTAGGGAATACTTGCTAGAGACCAGAAGACGACAGATGATAGAAGAAACTTATATCTTAGAAATAAACATAATTTCATTATCGTTGGACACCTGGAGTTTGAGTTGTTGCATTTCGTCCAAGTCTACGTTGTGCTTTTGTCTGTCTCAACGCCTAGACACCCACAATATAAATCACAGAGAGGAGCGGTCCTTTACTGACCACTACTAAGTCAACCTAGTTTGTGTTAAGTCAGGACCGGAGCCCTCCTCCGTAACAACCTTTCTGTGAAAACAATTTCTTATAACACCAACTTGCAACGAATTCAGCAATAAAACTGGTTTGAGATTTTAAAAGGAGGATTGGGTTTTCAGAGTTCAGATGACGCCAAACAGCGATAAAGCCCCAGGAAATAGAATTCATTTAAATAACTGTGCAATTCAACCTGGCAAAAGTGTTTATAAAAATGTTGAAGATGCTTGAGTTGGATACATGGTGAATCAGCAGCTTGTATCTAGATGTGAATACAGTCATGGAAAGGGCCCGGAGGAAACATAGCCTATGCTTCATCAAAAGTACATCTATTCATTATTTCGTTGCTTTTTTTTTTTTAGCAGCCTTGCCCCACAAAGAACAAACACATCAGTAATGTACACATCCTTTCAATGTCAGCTCGCGCTAAATGACTTGTCATTATTTGACAATGGAACAGCTTTTGTGTGTGTTGGGGGAGGGGGAGTGTTCGCATTTAATTTATTATTTCGCACGATCATTATTTGTTTCATTTATTGTCTACATGGAATACAATAATTTAAACACTTCATAACAGAGGTTCTCTACTTTTTTTGTGGGTGGCCGTCTCCTGGATCCCTTTATAATGAGCCTGGGTCGCTTGACACATTCAGAAATAAGAAATTGTTTTAATATGCATTATTATTATTTTTTTTACCATCTTTTTTAAAAAAAATGTGAATATTAATCACAAGTAAATGGTTTATTCATTACTATGTGAATAAACAACAGCTACGTCTTAATTGCATTGTAAGACTTCCAGTGTTCTGCTTTTTTCAAAAACTATAACCGAAAACAATTCGATTTAAGGGCACTGATCATGTTTAATTTTTAATTGCTCTTTTTACGTTGAGTTTTATTTAATAATACGCCTTCCGTTCTTTTTGCACAATTTTAAAAACAGATTCAAACCTAAAACACAAACACACAAGTAATATGAACTTCATTGTAATGAATTGATTAGCCTTTAAGTAAGAAAATCAACTCCAAGATAGCTATTAAATATTATGTTTGAAAAAGATATTATAAATACGAAAATATTGATCAGTCTATAAGATAAAATAAAACCTATAAATAAGAAGATATTGATCAGTCCATCAGATAGAATAAAAACTATAAATAAGAATATATCGATCAGTTAAAAAGAGAAAATAAAAAAAGCGTAAATTTGAAAGTATTGTCCTGTCAATTAAAAACAATCAAAGCGCAATTTAATTTTTAACGTCGTTTTCTCAATAACCTTGAGTGTGGCATTAAAACTGTTGAAAATACTGCTTGAAAAAGAAGTGCGGCCAAGTTACATAATCGTATGGGTTGTTACATGTGTGACATGGCTGTTCAATATTGAATCTCTTTCAACCAAGGAACTGATGCAAAATGGACAGACGTGGTTTTATTGAACACATCGAAGTAATCAAATGAGACAAATTTGAATAAAATATATAGGATAAAATTGTAATAATCAATATTGTCCATGTACTACGCTTCCAAAAAGAAGAAAAATTAGTATTAAAACGAAGATAAAGTCAATTAAGACAATAAGTATTAATTAACAGTAAAACGCTTTTTAAAATCACCCACACTTTAATGATATAGACAATTTTAATGTCAATTTTTAAGATTAATTGAAACATATTGTCATTTGAATTGCCTTTGTAAGAAAGAGTTCTTAATTCACTTACATGCATTAATTACGAGACTTAAACTCATCTAAATTGCAAGGTCTAGTAATTATTGCATAGATAGCAGAGTGCAAGAGTGATTAAATTATGAGTGTGACTCGTGCCCCTGCCCTGGTAGTGTTCAGCACGGGCCGAGTTAATAGCAGGATTAGTGCACATGTTAACGTCACGCTTAGTGCACAAGTTTAACGTCACGTTTAGTGCACAAAATAACGTCACGTTTAGTGCACAAGTGACGAGCACGATTAGTGCACGCGATAGCATCACTTTTAGTGCACACGTTAACATTTCCTTTTGTGCACAATTTAGTATTGGGGTAACATTGGTTATAATATAATCATCTTGAACAGCCATAATGATGACCCAATTCAAAGATTGCGTTAGCAGTAAGACTGTCGAAATGAAATATATGCAGAACCAGGCATGCGTTGCAATGCCACACGAGGAAAGAATGTGTTTGTGTTTAAATAAAGTTTTTTTGAAGCAATTTTTATCAATACAATATATTATTTTGTTTTTCAGTCTGGTGCGTACACGAATAAATTAGAAGGATATTCGACGCGTGAGCAGGCCACACGCAGGTGTCCATGTGAGCAGGCCACACGCAGCTGTCCATGTGAGCAGGCCACACGCAGCTGTCCATGTGATCAGGCCACACGCAGCTGTCCATGTGAGCAGGCCACACGCAGCTGTGCATGTGAGCAGGCCATACGCAGCTGTCCATGTGAGCAGGCCACACGCAGCTGTCCATGTGAGCAGGCCACACGCAGCTGTCCATGTGAGCAGGTGACACGCAGCTGTCCATGTGAGCAGGCCACACGCAGCTGTCCATGTGAGCAGGCCACACGCAGCTGTCCATGTGAGCAGGCCACACGCAGCTGTCCATGGGAGAGGGATGGATTTTAAATTTTAATCCACACACTTGTAGCTAATGATCCACCCCTGCAATAGCTCTGTTTAAAATGATATTTTATAGCTCATATACAAACAAAATTATATTTTATGTTGTTCTATTGGTGACATACTTGACTATGGAAGGAAAAATAAAATGTATTTTTTAAGGGTAGATTGAATGAAATATGAAACGTCTTTTGCCAGAACTTTACCAATTTAAATAACAGCTTCTAAATAGATGATAAATCAAACACCACTAAATAAATGAAAAAAAAAAAGGATAGATTTGTAAGAAAACATTTGCCTTTACAGATTTTTAAAAAAATAAACATTTGATTAAATTATTTTAAAACACTTATTTTATATATTTCATGTACACAATTACTGATGTCATTTTATTGCCCTCTATAATAAATTTGAATAGTATTTTAAAAATTTAAATAGTAAAGTATACAATAGTATTTAAAAAATAACTAAACATTAAACAACTATTTAGGATCATGTGTTTGTAGTCGTTGACTGGGGCAAAGTAACCTCCAGCTTTTTTGTTGAGTTTTCACTTGACCAGTTGTGCAAATATGTGCAGTCAAAAGCTTAGAATTGTCACTGAAAAATAACTAACCAAATGATTTCCTTTAAAAAAAGTCATTTCGTTTCACCTTTCTTTAACACGTATAGTGTGGTGAAAAACTTCTACTGTCAGTTATTTGGAATCAATCTCTGAACTGCTTTGCTCTGGAGACTGAATCATCTCTTGCTTCGATTTTTTTAAAAAGGTTTAATTATTTTTAAAAAAATTGCAGCCATGAGGTTTTCAAATTTGATAAGTGATAATACACGACGTTATGCTGTGATCGAAATTGCAGTTCCTGGTTAAGGGAGCCTAGGGGAATATTAGCTGAAAGATGTTGAGGCTAGACGAATGAGCGCTTGATTATTTTATTTTTTTCAAAGTTATTTAGGAACATCAACAAATGCTCTAAAACTACATATTATAATATATTATGCCAAGGCAAAAAATATATATTGCTAGTTTTGTTTAAATTTCAATCACAAAATTATTCATGAATTAATTCAGACAAAGTTTGTTTTTTCTTCTCTTTTTTAATGTAATATTTAGAAAAAAGAAAATAAAAGCTTTTTTTTTTTTGGAAGACATAAAAATGACTATCCAAGTTAATGCCAGAGATAATTTTCTACACACGTGTATGCTAGTCCTTTATCTTTGAAACTGAAAACAGAAATTAATGACTGAATTTAAAATGTAGTAAAATTACAAGAAGAGTTTCTATTCAAATCTATATAGCTTCACAAATATATATTTTTTTGAAAACATTATAAAAAAGTTCACTTCATACTAAAATAATTGATCTTTTTTTTAAGAAGTCAATGTTTACAAACATACAATAAGAAAGACCCCGGTTCATTCGCTGGACACATTCCAATGTTCATTCGCCACACCCGTTCAATATTTCAATTCGCCACACCCCTTCAAAAGTTTATTTCGACACATCCATCCATGTTCAGTGGACAGACCCTATCCATGTTCAGTGGACAGACCCTATCCATGTTCACTTGAAAGACCCTATTCATATTCACTGGACACACCTTATCCATGTTCACTGGACAGATCCTATCCATGTTCACTGGACACACCCCCTTCCCAATAATCCAAATTCCAAAACCAATGCGGACGCCCTAAAATGCAAGTTGTTCGCGCAAATGTAAAAAATATCTCCTTTCATCTGATCATTCGCATTTAAAAATTTCAAGCAGCGATAAGTCCACTTGCATCGCCAGTGCACTATGACCTAGAGGCGTGTCCACTCACATCACCAGTGCACTAAGACCCAGTGACGTGACCACTCACATCACCAGTGCACAAAGACCCAGTGGCGTGTCCACTCACATCACCAGTGCACTAAGACCCAGTGGCGTGTCCACTCACATCACCAGTGCACTAAGACCCAGTTGCGTGTCAACTCACACCATCAGTGCACTAAGACCGTCACAGCACACAAGTAACAAGATGCTAGTTTGGGATATTTGATTGCTTGAATAATGACGCTAAACAACAAAATGGAAGATACTGCAGAAAGCCTTCCTCCGACAAGACAAAAATAAAGAGCACTTAAAAACAAAGAAAAATAACTTGTCAGCTAGCATCTTATTTAAGGTTATTAAATGCAATAAACGTGGTCTCAATAAAGCATCTTTTGAACACCGTGCGAGCAGCATTGCCACTCATCACGGCTTGCCTAACGTGTCAGTGTTAAAACCATCCCGGACATCGTAAAAATTAACCATGAAAACACAACCGATATTACTGATAACTGCAAACATTTGCGCCGATGTATGCGTCTGTCAAAAGAGCGGACGTTGAACAAGTTAAGCCTTCAGTTCTAACAGCAGCGTTTCTTAATGACTACTGTCTCGGCTACTCACCTTGACAAACGCGAGACGTGATTTCTTTTATCAGCTGGTTAAGGTGACCAAATGACTTGACCTTGAAAACGTTCAGTTCACTGCTGGCTATGTCTACTAACTCTGGCTCTACATCCGATCCTATGCCGGCTGCAATTATGACGACTCCCTCATTGGCCAGATTTTTAGCAGCTTCCTTTGCTGCGTAGAATAACATAGGAACATCGCAATTATATTCATGAAATATATATACATTTTTTTTTTTAAAGTTAAGACATGAAACAAGACCAATGTATTGATGATTCTTAACAAGGCATTTTGTCCGAAAATTAATTTCCCTTTTCTTCACGTGTTTCTAGCTCACAAAATATTCGTCCGGCGAATTGACCTACTTGCCGTCAGCCTACAAAGCTGAGATTGTGCACATAGACACGTTGTCGACCACAACACATTCTGTCAAATTGTCAGCCCCCACCCCCCCCCCCAACAACCCACCCCAACCGAACCAAAAAATCAGCTTTTCCTTCTTTTTAAAAAATTCGTCCGGCGAATTGACCTACTTGCCGCCAGCCTACAAAGCTGAGATTGTGCACATAGACACGTTGTCGACCACAACACATTCTGTCAAATTGTCAGCCCCCACCCCCCCCCCCCAACAACCCACCGCAACCGAACAAAAAAATCAGCTTTTCCTTCTTTTTTTTTAAGGGGAAGATGAGGGAAATATGATGAGACTGATTTCACAAAATAAAATTCCTGATAATTTCGCTAAATGATATTCTTTAAAAACAACAACAAAATTGCATTTGGTGCGTAAAATCTTCTATTTTCGGAAACAAATCTGCCGTGTAAAAGCGGATGTGAAATTAGAATATTATTGTATTTCAGGGCGTGCGTCTGCGATACCTTGGGGTTGGGGGGGGGCGGACCTAATTTGTATTCTTATAAAGTGCGTTACTTGAATGCATGTTTTGTCAAATTCTCATCCTTACCGACCATGGCTCGGTATTCAATTACATGGAGGATTGATAGGAAAAAACTTAGATTTTATGGGGTTATTTCATTTCAATGACTTAATACTGACCAAAAAAATTTATCATAAAGCTAATGACGTTCTTCTGTTGGCTAAATGTCTTTTCATAAATCGTGCGCCTGTGACCGGCTGTCTGACGGCTCAGAGTTGACTAGCCAAAACATGTACTTACTTAAATCCGATCTCTCCGACTTGCCCGCCAGGAGGACGATAACCAATTTGGCGGCGTTATAGCGTCCGCCCAGGTCGATGCTGAACATCTCATGATATCCCACAAAATCAAGGCCAAGGTCAGGTCTGCTTGACATATTTAATAGATGACTGTCTTTGAGAGCCTGTTGAGTTGAGTTGTTGCGAGTAAATCACGTCATCATTATTACTCGAAATTTTAGAGGTGTATTGACACTAGTGACTAGAGTGAGTTGTTGTGAGTAAAGCTTGACTCATCATCATTACTTATAATGTTGTGGATGTATGCTTAGAGTCAACGGAGTCTGTGGGTGGGATTCAATCACGATGACCGATTAAAATATTTATTGCTTCACGTCCTGAGACCAACTACTTATTTAATCAAATCCCAAACAACAGTCCCATGGATAAGTTTCAAATGATAGCTATATATTCTTGTACTGCTTGTCATCTTGGTTGTTTTTTAAAATCCAACTACTTACTTCTTCCGGTAATTACAATGACAATCAACCCATCTTTTAAAACTAGTTTCTATTTCTTGTCGTATTTGTATTTGTCCTGTCTGCTGAGGAGGGCTCTTAGCCGAAACGTCATCTTATTGTCCTGTCTTTCGATTCAAGCTTCCACATACCTTGTTCTATTATTTCCTTCACACAGCTTGATCGAATTCCTTCGTTTATTATCCTTTAATTATTATTGAGGTTTGCGTGCATCCTGTAACAGAAATACCTTTGTTAGATCATCGTGTGTTTTGAAATCTTTGATGTCAAACAGCTTCTTGGCGTCGTCGCTATAGGTGACGCCACCAAAAAGGACATCAGCGTCTCCTATGATGAAACTCCGAACGACAGCGGATGCCAGGTCAACAACTTTCTGGTAACTTGATTCATCTACAACTTTAGCCGACGCGTCTAAGATAAATATGACGTCAGCTGCAGCTCTGCAAGCTTTTGAAAACAAAATGTATCAGGTTGCGAGACAATATATCAAAAGGAGTTGGAATACTTTGTTTTGAACGATGTAAACAATAATGAAAATGAAGGAAATGTCTATTTATAAACACCTGAAACAAGGTCAATGGCTCAATTTAAAAAAAAAACAACAACAGATATCTTAACATATGCTTCATAATTGATAATTTAAACATTTAAACTTCGGTCACAAATATTTCACAAATGATGCTAATGCTGTGGCGTCCATAAATATATTATAATGCTAGCGTTTCAGTTCTTACACATATATTCTAATCATCCTTAAAATATTTTTAAGGGGTTTCAGTGAGATATGTAAATAATTTTATAGTGAATGTTTTCTGTAAAATACAACTTTCCTTGTTTTGGTGTTGTTGTTTTTTGTTGGTTTTATTAACAACTTTTTAATTAAAAAATAAATTTAATCGCTACTTTACGGAGGCAATTTCAAATGCCTGTTTCAAACAATATGACATCACAAAGGTAAACACAAATTATTATAATATAAATATTTTTTGGATTACTCTAGTTTACTCACCAATACTTCGGCCAGGTGTTCTGGAGGTACCATTTAAATCAGTAAGGTTTCCCTGAGCCGCTTTCGTTGTTGCTGTGTACACTACCATAAATATAATACATTTGTATGTAAATGAAATATTTGAGACATTACTTTAGATAGATAGCGAATGGTTAAATTAATCTGGTTATTAACTAACGTAAACATTTAAAAGGAATTTGAGTAATGACAAGAATGTGCTACGCACTGGCTTCTAATATGAGAAATTAATCTCTTATTTTAATTTTAATTGGATCGTTGTAAACAGTGCCTAACAAATGGACGATACCATAGAGTCAACAATGTTTAGGAAACTACACCCAAAACAGTTTCTAGTTATAATTGATAAGATTTAATAAGTATCAATGTAATTACAAAAGAAAAGAAATATCATTACAAATCATCAACTTACAGTATGGTAGATCTTGTACCGGTACACAGTTAATACAGTTAGAATAATGTGCCAATGAATAATGATGATTGCGAAATAAAAACATGTTGATTATGAGTATGAACATACAAATACACAAAGAATACTACAGGTCTCGTAAAGTTAATAATTTCTATCTGAATCTCCGTCTCTCCGTCCGTGCCTGTCAATCCCTTTTATAGGTCGCGTAAGTCCTGCCTTCAAGAAAAGACTTATGACGTGTTGTTTAATTCCTCGGGTTATCGAGCACATTCGAGAAAATACCAGGAGAGAGTCTAACATGCTTAATTGGTAAACATAGATGTAAACAAGATACATAAAACGAAGAGGCCACACCCACAACAGACGTTCCTGTCTGTTAGGATTCTTATTTAGGTCAAGTAAAGTTTAAGCATTGGGAATGTATGCTACATAACAAATAAAAAAAAGCATCTTTCCATAAAAACCTTACGTAAAACGATTCCGGAAATAACGACTGCTGGAATCAAGTGCATCACGTGACCCATGACATCTGTCCTGCAAGTTTTGAAAAGAAAAGAAAGATGTTATTTTTGCGAAGAATATCTGGCTGCTATTAAATCAGAGTATTATTGCATTGATTCATTAAATATACTCAGTCTATGCGTTCATTTAAAATTATATAAAGCCTTCAAAAGTGAATGGACGTCTTTGACACTGAAAATTTGAGTTTGAATAATCTGCTGTTTGGCCATCGGTGTTGAGTGGATTGCTTGGTAAGCTTTTCGAGATTCTTTTACGAAACTCGAAATTCAATGTCTGATGCCATTAAGAATTATTTATTGAATTATTAATATCGATTGTTTTCCAAAGAGCCACTTGTTGAACGTGATAAAGCGAGTGATCAATGTCAGATTGTGTCCCTTGTCAAATGATGTCATTGTCAGATATTGTCCAATGTCAGATAGTGTCCATTTGTCAAATGATGTCAATGTCAGATGGTGTACAATGTCAGATTGTGTCCATTTGTCAAATGATGTTAATATCAGAAGGTGTCCAATGTCAGATGTTATCCATTGTCAGATGGTGCTCAAATTTAGATGGTGTCAAATGTCTGATGGCGTCATAGGTTAGATGGTGTTCAACAGCAGAAAAAAATTCAAGACCAGGATATGTCCCTCGAAACTTTCAGCCTGGGTATCGTAAACATTGAACAGTTTGATAATGTACTGCCATGTTCATTTCATAACTTTCTCTTAGTAATCGATTATTTGGGGATATAAATTGCACACATGTCTATTAAAAAAAAGTTTTTTTTTTTAAAATGTAAGGCATTGACATCGGCTGTGTTAACACTATTGTAAAGTTCACCAAGAATCCAGTTAATAGTAACAATAATGAGTTAATGTTGACAATTATGACTATAAGTAGACAATATTGAGTTAATGTTGACAATAATGAGTGATTAAACTTCTTAGACTCGAACGTCCAACTATTGTGTATTTACCAAGAAAAGAATCATGAACATTTGCATAACAACCGTCCAGACGAATGAACTGATACTTAAGACATTCGAATCATGACTTTGTGGTACCAAATCCTCTTACAAGACCTTCAAACTAAACACGATATAACGTGTCTTTGAGAAATAATGGTACAACATTGTTACTTACGGATTTTAAGTTGACTATGAAGATGCTCAAAACATGTTCTGGTTAGCTCCTGATACAAACTTGAAATATGCATAGCAAAATTTTCACACAGTAGGTCAAGCTTTTTGTATCCATGTTTTGATCGATAAGAAGATATTCGTTAATTAGAGAGGAAAGGGGAGCAAATTGGAAAATGTTCGTTGTATTGATTGATGAACACCAAGGGCAGCTCGGCAAACTTCGTGTTAGATCAAGCCGATGTTATAGGGTTGATTTTCAAGCACTTTGCCTTTCTTAAAGCAAACAGTGGCTGTAGGCAGTAGTTTTAAAGGTTAGGCTAAGACAGTATGTGCTATGAAAATGTAAAATAATCGGCAAGGGTAGTCACCACACCGGTGGTGTTAAATGGTAGTGTAGATGAGTGGAGGCTGTAGTAGATTTAAACGATTATGCAGGACAGTGGCAATTGAGGCTGTAATACGTGCCTCTTATATATCCTTTAGCATTATTGAGAGAAATCTAATTGCACAAAATATGTGACTTTGTATTATTTTCTTATGAATTGGCAGTGAAAAAAAAAAAGAAGGCAAGAAGATTGAAAAATCATTTTTTTTTTTCGATACAATCCAACAACATATTGGCATCAAAACCAAGGATGCTATACAGAGGCGTAGCAAGAGTGTTTGGCGCTCGTGACATCTGTATCCCCTGCCTCCCCCCTTCGCTTCGCCTCTGCTGCTATAACAAGTGATAAAATAAGTTTGACCACCTTCCATGCTGCTATTTTTTTAATGATCAATATATCGATATTTCTTATTCACAACTTAATTTCCCTCCTGATTGGGAACATCGAAGAAATTGTTATGAAGTAGCGATCTGCTTTGTGACAAGTTGAAAGAAACCCTTATAATACAGCAACACAAAAGTAAAAAGCATAAAATTACTAACTCCCGTCTCTAGAAATTTCAAAAGTGGTAGCCCATAATAGGATTTCGGATGACCGGTAAACGTAGTGAGCTGTGTGAGTACATTGGAAATATGCATTTGAAAATACATGGATTCAGATGCCAGTCATCATGGCGTCATAGGACACTAAAGCAAATCCCTATATGACGTAGCTGCCTAGCATTATCTCCCGTTGCTTGAAAGACAGTGCAATTTGATCCACATATTTGTGTCTTATATTTACTTGTTTTTGGTTGTAGGGGACTTTTTTAAAAACTTTTTAAAAAAAACTTTTCCTCTTCGCTTTTACACGAAAAGTATATCATACGATGTTACAACATCAGCACACCATTGACAAACACACACATACTGCTGGTCATCTATAGCATCCTGGTCTACTCCCAATCCTTTTGACTTTCTTGCAATTTGATCCTGGTATAATTTGAGGGACTTTATGATGTACCAGTACACTGGGATAGTGGAGACAAACACAAGAGTATCTACGACTAAATATGGATACGAAGCATGGAATGAATGTCTTATTTTTAATGGTAAAGATGGATCAGTAAATTTATAGATCTAAATAAATTAATACGTTAAATAACTCATGGAAATTAATAAACATTTTGGGGGCAAATCTTTTAATGAACAACATGTAGAAACACAAGAGCACACGATAGAATTGACACCAAATGTTTTTTTCAGAATTTAATGTCATCAACGATGTGTCATTATCTTGCAGTTTATCAAAGGTTTGAACGTCATCAAAACAGGTCACGTGCTGTGTCCTAGTTGGAAACACCTGCAATTAAGATAATGCATTCATCCAATTGTATAAATTGGCAATCATCAACAATAAGCATCTGACTATTTACTTGCAGAGTTTGATTAAGAGACAATGTTTGGTAATGTGATGACGCGCCATGGTGATGATCAACATTGGAACAGTCATTAAATTTTAGACTTCCCAGAAGTTAAGTTAGAGAAGCGAAACGGATTTTTAGAAGAAGAATGAAAAAAAAAACAACTAAATACAAACATGTATTTCATTTATAAATGGAACATCGACGGGAATTTAAACTCAATGTTAAAAGATGTTGTTTCCCAATTATAATTTTTTTTTTTTTTTTAAATATTACCAACTGTGCACTTGTTAAAACCTTTATATTAACCTCGCTACCGTTTATGTCTTTCTGGCTTGTAAAATATTTGAATGGCTAATCGACCCACTTCACGAGAACATATCGAGCTTAAACTTGGCATTTAGACACGCCGATGGCAAAAGTCTATCTATTTTAAGTCCCATCCCCTACACCAGCCCCCAAAATTATTTATTTCTTAATTTACAAGGGGAAGATGAAGGATATATGACGCCACTGATTTTTACTAAATCAAATGGCTGATAACTGCGCTAAATAACAGTCTTACAAAAATCGCAAGTGCGTTTGGTGATTAATATTGTCTTTCTTTTTTTCTGAAATAGTGAATTTTGTAAATCTGTGATGTCAAAGTGGGTTGTTATTTAGAATATTTATATAGTTCAGGGGCGTGAATAAAATATGCAGATGCTCGACTTGGGAGGGGTTGGGGAAATCACTTAATAGGGATTCTTTTAAAAGGCGTGACATTTATGCATGGTTTGTCAAATTTTCAGCCCTACCCCCCTCCCCCACGCAGCATTTCTCGTTATTATATTTTATACAGCATTTATACAAAAAACAATAGTTTTTCGGGTTGTTTTAAAAGTATTTCTAATTTCTGTCTAAACGTGTTCAACATCCATATTAACGTCTTTACTTACTTTCACAAGTCATTTGGACCAAGTCCTTCTTGATGAAGTCCAAGAGGTTGTAACCGCCGGTTAGGAACACATACGCAGGTTTACTGGCGATGCCCTGGAGTTCAGTCTTGTCGACGCCCGACCCGATGCCCACGGATATCAGGGTCACGTCCTCATTTTTCAGAAGCGTGGCCTCTTCCTGGGCTTAACAAACATGGAATGAGGAGAATCATTTTTTAGTACACTTTGATATTAGGCTCTATTGTGCAGGCCAACTGAAGCGCCGACAACTTCAAAGTTACCACCTAATGAGTGAAGGTGAGAATGAGAGAAGAAAACTGCAGGGTATGGTAAGATTGTAGATATATCTTTGAAAGGTGTCATGTGTTATGTCATATGAATGTATGTTGTCAAGTATTAAATTATATGTATATAAGATGGCATGTATTAAATCATGTGTATGTTAGGCGTCGTGTATAATATTATATGTAAATCGTCCAAACCCCAGTTCCCAATACGCTCACTGAGTGGCCCTTGCAACCAGTGATATATCTTCTTCAATACCAGGCACGGCAACATTGCAAGTACCTCTACATACATAGGAGTCACACTGATCAATACATTGATTGTTTGCACTTACATATAAAAGAAACATATTTGTATGAATAGTCATGTATTATATAATATCTATGTAAGGTATCATGTATTGTATCATATGTATGTAAAGTGTTATGTATTATTTAGTAAGTATTTTGGGTGTCATATATTATATCATATGTATGTTATACGAATATAAAGAGGCGAGAGTCAGGAGAGTAAACCCACGAATCAGATCATGTATTGTGACTGACACAAATAGCATTGACACAAATAGCAAGACATTGGCTGACACAGATGCTGGGAAAGTGATTGTCATCCCGAGAGCTGATTCCGTGACAGTGTCTCGCATATTGATACCATGACAGTGGCTGAAATATTAATACCTGACAGTTACTTGTATATATTGGTACCTGACAGTGAGTTTAATTTTGATACTATATTAGTGGCTAACATACGGAGAGATGATGACATGTGACCATGTCTGGCATATTGATACCTGACAGTGTCTGTTATACTGAGACATAATTTGTGACATATTGATTCAGAAGCTGACTTACTGATTACGTGACTGTGGCTAACTTACTTATCAAATGTCAGTGGCTGACTTACCGAGAGATGATACAGTGGCAGTAACTGCCATTTTAATGCAATCACATCGACTTAAAGACTGCTTGCTGACTGACTGACACAATGACATTGGCTGACTTACTTAGAGTGGGTGAGGTCGACAGCCCGTCCGTCATGACAATGACAATATTTTTGACACCATCTCTGCCACCATTCTCTGGACTGAACAGCTTCTGCTCCCGTATCTCCTTCAGACCCAGGTGAGTGTTGGTGCCACTGCGGTAGGGGTACTCTATGCTTAATATTGCCTGAGCAAGAAAACAAATAGATGGATTTCAAGCACGTTTTTTTGTTGTTGTATCAATTATATTTTTTTTTCTTTTAAAGTAACAGGTGACTTTAAATTGACTACGTTAAGACTAGCACGTTACGAATACTTGAAGTGACTCAGGAAAATTTGTCATGAGTTCAATGCCTAGAGGAAATTCAAAAGATAGCATTGTGTTGAACAAGGAATTTTGGGATGACATTGACGTTAAACTTAACTCTGTACCTGTAATTTTAAAATGATGTGTTTAAACATTTTCAAAGACAAATCTGTGTGTCATCACATGGTTATAGACATTTGCATGTATTAGGAAATTTCAAAGACATCCCCATGTATTATGACATGGTGAAAGACACTTCCATGTACTTTCACATATTTAAAGACAATTCTATCTAGTATCACATTGTCAAAGACATTTCTATGTTGTAGCATATGGTTAAAGACATTTCTCAGAATAATGACATGGTTAAAGACATGTCCATGTATTATGCAGTGGTTAAGGACATTGCTATGTATTATAACATCTTCAAAGCCATTACTATGTATTGTAACATGTTGAAGATATTGCTAAGTATTATAACGTGACTAATGACGTTTCTTTGTATTATCATATGGCTTAAGACATAACATATTCAGTGCTTTTTGTGTCATATTAATGTTTAAGAAACGTGTCCACAATATTCTATGATATGGCACAATCTACACAAAATATCTGTGTATGTAATAGTTTAATGTTTGAAATGTTTAAGCTAAAGATATGCAATCCAATATTAATCATAACTATTCGCTATGAATTTACTGAAACCGTCAATATGTTTTTAAGATCCATGCTCTGTTTATTAACAGTGTCCCTTAGGAGTTTAACCCTGATGTATGCAATAGAGAACAGGAAAGATAGCTTCATAGCGCGCTGACTGATACTCAACAAACATTTGATGATGACGGTACAGCATTGTGTCGCACAGAGTAAATGGAACCATTCTGAGCGCTTCAAACTTTTACATCGATTTATAAAGTGTTTGTCACATAAACATAAACCGTTGATATGTGCTGTAATATGGTCTCAAGCAAAGCACGTAAAGTCATATGTAGGTGACTGTCTATGTAAGTAACTGCTTATGTACGTAAATGCCTATGTACGTAATTGTCAATGTACGTACCTTTCTATGTGCGTAACTGTCTATGGACCTAATTGTCAACGTACGTAACTTTCTATGTACGTTACTGTCTATTTACGTAACTACCTATGTACGTAACTGCCTATGTACGTAACTGCCTATGTACATAACTACCTATGTAAATAACTATGTACTTATTTGTTTATGTAGGTAACTGTCTATGTTTCAAGCTGCCTATGCACGTAATTGTCTATGTGCGTTATTAACTATGTACGTAACTTTCTATATACTTAATGGTCTATGTACGCAACTGTCTTTGTTCGCAACTGTCTATGTAGGTAACAGCCTAAGTACGTAACTTACTATGCTTGTTACTGCCTATGTACGTAACTGCCTATGGGATGGATTAAGGTCAACAACAAATACCTGAGATATTGATTGGTGGTCGAAGTAGGTTTTCAAATCGAATATCTTAGTCGGCGACTTGTTAAAAAGGAGTGTACCGAATCTGACGTCATTAGCACCCACGGTGAACGCCTGGGTAACTTCATCGGCGAATTTGACCTGCTTCTGCCAGTTGATGGACCCGATGCTAGTGGAGGCGTCCAGCAGGAGGATGATGTCTGCCTTGGTCGTGTTATGACAGGGCTGAACCGGTGGTGGTGTTGGTGCTGAGGTTAAATGTCAAGGGTCAATAGAAGAACAAATAGGTATTTTATAATCGGTGTCTAATGCTTTAAAATTAAGTAAATATATGAACTAACTTGTAGCAATATACACGTTTATTGTAAATATTAATCAAGGAAAGATGTCTGGTTTTAAAATTATTCCATGCTGTTAGAATTTTTATTTGTGTGAGAATTGTTCTCATTTGCATGTGTATCATTTTATTGTATCAATTCATGTTATCATTCCACTAAAACACATATTATGTTTATGGTTGGAGCTGATGCTCTTAAGGCCCCGACTAGTACATTGGCAACGAGCTCCATCTACTGGGCTGTGCCGACTAGTACATTGGCAACGAGCTCCATCTGCTGGGCTGTGCCGGCTAGAACATTGGCAACGAGCTCAAGCTGCAGGGCTGTGCCGACTAGTGATTTACACCATCATTTGCAAAAAGTGCGGCAAACTATACATAGGAGAGATAGGTCGTCGCCTTGGGGACCGTTTCAGAGAGCACCTCTATAACATAAACAAACACGCTCTCTGTCCGGTCTCCAAACATTTCAATAGCCCTAACCATAATGGTATCTCAGATATTGTAGTTGCTGGTATACTCTACACTAGTAACACTGCAGATAGAATCTATATGGAGAACAAATTAATAACTAGATTTGGTACGTTGTCTCCATATGGATTGAACCAAATCCATAGTTTTACTTAGCTGCCATGTCTTTTTCCTGTTTGGTTTTTCCAATTATGTTAAAATCATTTCCTTTCTACTTCTCTTTACTTTGTTTTTGTCTGGTTTTAGCGCCCTCTCCTATATTTTTTCTGTTTTAGGTAGGATATATATATTGATATTATGTAAATTTAATTTATACTTATTTAAAGGTGTTTTGTTTGTTTGTACTGATGAAGGCATGTGCCGAAACGTTTAATTATGTATGATGTATAATTATTATTAAAGCTAACCCATATTGTTATATTGACACTATTTGTTCGTGTCTTTTTAATCTATTTAAAGCTTTATCGCAGTCCAACACTTCTTATAATTAGTACATTGGCAGCGAGCTCCATCTGCTGGGCTGTGCCGGTCAGTACATTGGCAACGAGCTCCATCTGCTGGGCTGTGCCGGCTAGTACATTGTCAACGAGCTCCATATGATGGCGCTGTGCATTATAACATCATCATAACCCTGGACTCTCCCGCTGACCTTACTTTCCCCGCATCGTCTAGTCCTGGGCATTAAATCAAGAGATGCGCTAGAATTTCTGTGTTTAGGCTGCAATTTCGACAGGTCGAGACCCTGTTGTCTAGCGTTTGAAAGCATGTGTTAGAAGGGCAAAGCTCTGTTCTCCTTTGGGTCACCTGACTCTGTTCTCGGCGACCCAAATTCCAATAGGGGCACTGTTTGCTACGAAGTGAAAGACATTCCACTAAATCTTTCCATTGTATCATGTCATTGTGCTAAATGAGGTAAAATCGCCTGTTTCAGTATGTTAGTATAATTATGCCTTTAGACAACCAGGCCAACATGATATGTTATACGTCAAGAATGTACAAAAAGTATTACTGCGAATATTAGATTTAAAATTAAACCTATAACTTTTACCTGGGGTAGTAGTTGGCTTAGCGGTTGTAGTTGTAGGTGAAGCTGAAGTTGTTGTAGGTCTAGGTGTTGTAGTTGTTGTAGTTGTTGTGGAAGTTGTTGTTTTTGTGGTGGGCCGAGTTTTTGTTGTCGTTGTTGTAGTTGTTGTTGGTGTTGTAGGTCGGGTTGTAGTTGTTGGTGTTGTAGGTCGAGTTGTAGTTGTAGGTATAGGTGTTGTAGTTGTTGTTGTAGGTCGGGTTGTAGTTGTTGTAGGTCGGGTTGTAGTGGTTGTTGTAGGTCGGGTTGTAGTTGTTAATGTAGGTCGGGTTGTAGTTGTTGTTGTAGGTCGAGTTGTAGTTGTTGTAGGTATAGGTGTTGTAGTTGTTGTTGTAGGTATGTTTATAGTTGTAGGTCTGGTTGTTGTTGTAGGTCTGGTCGTTGTTGTAGCAAGGGTAGTTGTTGTAGGTCGTGTTGTTGGTGTTGTAGCTCTTGTGGTTTGTGTCGTTGGTCGGGTGGTGGTGGTTGTACTTTGTGTTTTTGTTGAATCTGCTCCTGGAAAATATACATTCATAAATTATAAAAATCCTGAAATTATAGCATTCATATATCATAACTTTTATATATTTTAACATTCAAACAAAATAACTCTTATATATTATACGATGCATAAATTATAACAGTTATGTAGTATGACATTCAAATATTATGAAGATCATATAATATAACATTTATATATTATAATATTAACATATAATAAAATACATATATTATAACATTTATATTTGATAACATTTAACTATTATAAGATTCATATATTATAAGTTGAATCATTTTAGAAAAATGAAATAAAATATAAAATACATTGCGATGAAAAGATTAGATTCCAAAGTCATTTAAATGAGTTAACTAAAAGATAACTCTCATAAAAAATATGATTCGCTGTGTCCCTAAAATGACTCATTTGATTTTTGTTTATGTTTTCAATAGAGCTTACCACGACAAGGTTGTTGGTACTCGGTTTCTGGCAATAAAATAAAGTATTGGTAAATCATTAGTGTAGCATTTAAATACATATATACTATCAAATATTTATTAACAGGTATAAGAAAATAATTTGGTATGACTATCAATGATGTGAACTACGCTAAAATATTATCTTAAGCTAAAAAAATATTAAATGCTAGCAGAGTTTCGTTTTTATTTATGACACTTAAAGTTTCTCTAACAATAATGAGACAACAATAGCAGACATTGTGGATAGTCAATTGCATAAGGCAAGCAGGGTCAGGGAAGTTAATTGTATTAGGCAAGCAGGGTCAGGGAAGTTAATTGTATAAGGCAAGCAGGGCCAGGGAAGTTAATTGTAAAAGCAAGCAGGGCCAGGGAAGTTTATTGTATTAGGCAAGCAGGGACAGGGAAGTTAATTCTATAAGGCAAGCAGTGCCAGGGAAGTTTATTGTATTAGGCAAGCAGGGCCAGGGAAGTTAATTCTATAAGGCAAGCAGGGCCAGGGAAGTTGATTGTATTAGGCAAGCAGGGCCGTGGAAGTTAATTGTATTAGACAAGCAGGGCCAGGGAAGTTTGTTGTATTAGGCAAGCAGGGCCAGGGAAGTTAATTGTATTAGGCAAGCAGGGCCGTGACGTCATGGGTAAAGCCTAAAAATAAAGCTCCTGAATAATAAAGGAAACATAACCGCTAAATAAAGAAGATGAAGTTTGCTCCCCTTATCTTTGTGAAAAGCACGTGAGTGAATCTTTTAATTAACCAACAATTTTAAATCTTTAGACGACATTTTAGCGCCCTTGCTGATGTTGGCACCCGGGTCAAATGTCCTTTTCACCTCCCGATTCACACGGCCCTGAGGGAGCATAACTAAACAGTAAAATGACGTCATGGCAACAGCAAAGTGATGTCATCAGTAACTTCTGTTGACACACGATGCACGCGGTAAAGTTGTACTAACCGGCATATTGTGGGGGATCCGACTCTGAAAATGAAACATATAAAAGCTTTAGTTGATGTGCTTGTTAAATTGAAGAAATATCTATATGTTTTTTAGAAAGAAATTATAAAGAAGTTTATCAAATAGTTTTGTTTCTTATTAAAATATGTTTAGCTTTTGGACTTAAAAAATGCTTTTCTCTTTTTTTTTTTACAAAAAATCTCATGCCCTACTTTATAAATCGAATGACTTACTGATTATGAAAAAAATCGTAGCAATAAATCTCATGGATATCTAGCTTTCAGGACGCTACATTGACACTTAATATTTGGGAACATTTTAAAGTGTATCTTATTTTTGAAAAATTCTAGCGAACAGCTAGTGATTTGTCATATTTTTATAAAGTAAAACCATACAGCGAAAATCTTCTAGTTTTCGTTAGATTACCAATTGAACCCAACATTTCTGTATGGGTCAATACAGACTGTGTAGAACTAAATGGTTTTTTAAAGCGGTCTTTGATAAAGCAAAATCTCGTGTGGAAAGTATTGGTAAAGCATACCGGAATAAACTGGTTGCTAATACATACCGGAATAAACTGGTTGCTAATACATACCGGAATAAACTGGTTGCTAATACATACCGGAATAAACTGGTTGTTAATACTTACCTGAATAAACTGGTTGCTAATGCATACCTGAAAAAACTGTTTGCTAATAAACCTGAATAAACTGAATACTAATACATACCGGAATGAACTGGTTCCTAATACATACCGTAATAAATTGGTTGCTAATATATGCCTGAATACACTGGTTGCTAATACATACCGGAATAAACTGGTGGATCCATTTCTGAAATATGTTGAATTCAGAAGGGGAAAAAAATTAAATCATTTGTAATATTAAAGAGGTTTTCAGAATATGTTTCATTTAAAACTTCATACACTAATACATAACATTTATATCTTTTGGTCTTGTTCATCAAGGTATGTATTTAATGAATTATGTTCAGAAATATTAAATATCTTACAAGCCTCTCACACGTGTATGACTTTGTTCATACATCCAACGCTATAAGCCAGCACTACAATACACGTTTTACGATAATTAGTTTTTACTCGTTGACATATCACATAATCTAAATTACTTACCGCCATAAGTAGGGGGTCCTTCTTCTGTAACGAATACACAGATGGAATATGTATGAGCATATTACGGTTGACATATTAGTTAGCGTTGTGAAGTTAGTGCTTAGTGCTTACATATTCAATTTCTTTTTACATGTTTTTGATTTAGTCTGATGTGTTATGGTAGAGCATACATGTTATGGTAGAGCACATGTCATTTTATGGTAGAGCACATGTCATTTTATGGTACAGCACATGTCATGTTATGGTAGAGCACATGTCAAGTTATGGTAGAACACATGTCAAGTTATGGTAGAGCACATGTCAAGTTATGGTAGAACACATATCACATTACGTTAAGGGACATATAATTCAGTATAATCAAAGTACAAATTGTTCACTGGTTTTTCTTTTTGAAAAGATGTAAATAATAAAACTGAGTAGAGACAAAGTCATCGTTCTCAGAGTGACCATAACATCATGTTTCTAAAAGTCACAATACATCATGTTTCTAAGCGTGACCATAACATTATGTTTCTAAAAGTCACAATACATCATGTTTCTAAGCGTGACCATAACATTATGTTTCTAAAAGTCACAATACATCATGTTTCTAAGCGTGACCATAACATCATGTTTCTAAAAGTTACAATACATCATGTTTCTAAGCGTGACCATAACATCATGTTTCTAAAAGTTACAATACATCATGTTTCTAAGCGTGACCATAACATTATGTTTCTAAAAGTCACAATACATCATGTTTCTAAGCGTGACCATAACATCATGTTTCTAAAAGTTACAATACATCATGTTTCTAAGCGTGACCATAACATCATGTTTCTAAAAGTTACAATACATCATGTTTCTAAGCGTGACCATAACATCATGTTTCTAAAAGTTACAATACATCATGTTTCTAAGCGTGACCATAACATTATGTTTCTAAAAGTGACAATATATCATGTTTCTAAGCGTGACCATAACATTATGTTTCTAAAACTGACAATATATCATGTTTCTAAGCGTGACCATTACATTATGTTTCTAAAACTGACAATATATCATGTTTCTAAGCGTGACCATTACATTATGTTTCTAAAAGTGACAATATATCATGTTTCTAAGCGTGACCATTACATTATGTTTCTAAAAGTGACAATAAATCATGTTTCTAAGCGTGACCATAACATTATGTTTCTAAAAGTGACAATAAATCATGTTTCTAAGCGTGACCATAACATAATGTTTCTAAAAGTGACAATATATCATGTTTCTAAGCGTGACCATTACATTATGTTTCTAAAAGTGACAATATATCATGTTTCTAAGCGTGACCATAACATAATGTTTCTAAAAGTGACAATATATCATGTTTCTAAGCGTGACCATAACATTATGTTTCTAAAAGTGACAATAAATCATGTTTCTAAGCGTGACCATAACATCATGTTTCTAAAAGTCACAATACATCATGTTTCTAAGCGTGACCATAACATCATGTTTCTAAAAGTTACAATACATCATGTTTCTAAGCGTGACCATAACATCATGTTTCTAAAAGTTACAATACATCATGTTTCTAAGCGTGACCATAACATCATGTTTCTAAAAGTTACAATACATCATGTTTCTAATCGTGACCATAACATTATGTTTCTAAAAGTGACAATATATCATGTTTCTAAGCGTGACCATACATTATGTTTCTAAAAGTGACAATATATCATGTTTCTAAGCGTGACCATAACATTATGTTTCTAAAAGTGACAATACATCATGTTTCTAAGCGTGACCATAACATTATATTTCTAAAAGTGACAATATATCATGTTTCTAAGCGTGACCATAATATAATGTTTCTAAAAGTGACAATATATCATGTTTCTAAGCGTGACCATAACATTATGTTTCTAAAAGTGACAATAAATCATGTTTCTAAGCGTGACCATAACATAATGTTTCTAAAAGTGACAATTTATCATGTTTCTAAGCGTGACCATAACATTATATTTCTAAAAGTGACAATATATCATGTTTCTAAGCGTGACCATAATATAATGTTTCTAAAAGTGACAATATATCATGTTTCTAAGCGTGACCATAATATAATGTTTCTAAAAGTGACAATATATCATGTTTCTAAGCGTGACCATAATATAATGTTTCTAAAAGTGACAATATATCATGTTTCTAAGCGTGACCATAATATAATGTTTCTAAAAGTGACAATATATCATGTTTCTATGCGTGACCATAACATTATGTTTCTAAAAGTGACAATAAATCATGTTTCTAAGCGTGACCATAATATAATGTTTCTAAAAGTGACAATATATCATGTTTCTAAGCGTGACCATAACATTATGTTTCTAAAAGTGACAATAAATCATGTTTCTAAGCGTGACCATTACATTATGTTTCTAAAAGTGACAATATATCATGTTTCTAAGCGTGACCATAACATAATGTTTCTAAAAGTGACAATATATCATGTTTCTAAGCGTGACCATAACATCATGTTTCTAAAAGTTACAATACATCATGTTTCTAAGCGTGACCATAACATCATGTTTCTAAAAGTTACAATACATCATGTTTCTAAGCGTGACCATAACATCATGTTTCTAAAAGTTACAATACATCATGTTTCTAATCGTGACCATAACATTATGTTTCTAAAAGTGACAATATATCATGTTTCTAAGCGTGACCATACATTATGTTTCTAAAAGTGACAATATATCATGTTTCTAAGCGTGACCATAACATTATGTTTCTAAAAGTGACAATACATCATGTTTCTAAGCGTGACCATAACATTATATTTCTAAAAGTGACAATATATCATGTTTCTAAGCGTGACCATAATATAATGTTTCTAAAAGTGACAATATATCATGTTTCTAAGCGTGACCATAATATAATGTTTCTAAAAGTGACAATATA